TTTTAAGGCTTTTAATGAAGATTACCAGTTTTCTTTTTGCTAAACTTCTAGAAATAAAAATTTTACCAATAGCATATTAAAGGGCTTGTTTTCTGTGTTTTTACAATTAGTACTGAACTCAAAATAAAATCACACTTAAGTGGAACACTAATTTTTTCTTAAACAGCAATTGGTATATCACCTATAAATGACAGAATTAATGACAGTTTTATCACAGTAATATGGTTAATAAATTTCTCAAGTTAACTGATGCCCAAATCCTGAAAACATTATGGTTAAATAAACTTTAATATTATTCAGAAATAAATAGATTAACAGAAGTTTGACTATTGACTCTTTTAATGAGTGGCTATTCTATAAATTTTTTTCTTTTAAAAAATTAAAAATTTTAAAGAATCATTATTATTGTGTTACTGAATGCATGATGTGTGGATGTGGGCGTATTTGCCATGGCGTACGGGGGGGGGAGGGGGTCAGAGGACAAAGTTTTGGAGCTGGTGTCGTCTTCTACCTTTATTCAGGTTGCCAGTTTTATACAACACGGGCCTTTACCTGTGGAGCCATTTCTTCAACCTAGAAACAAATATCTTTCTAAACAAATGTTTAAATAGAAACAGTTATTTGTACCATGAACTGCTAAAAGTGAACTCAAATGTGCATCTTGATAGTTTCAATAATGATAAAAAGAAAAAGTACCGAGAAAGTCTCTTGCATTAGAAATGAGAACTAATGATATAAAGTCTTTAGTGGCATGTTTGTGTGTGACAGTTTTTGATGCCATAGTCTATTCTTTCAGAGAGCCATCACCTGGAGCAGATGGTGGTCCTGATCATGCAGTCATCTGAAAAGGAGACCTGCTATGAAAGTCTTCTGCCAGAGCTTCCTTGATTGTGGAATACATGCATCCCTTTGGACTTATGATTTTCAGAAATGAAATAAATTCAGCTTACTGCCAAAGCTATTCCAACAGATGGTTTAAAAATATTTTGGAGTATAAAACTCTTGAGGTCAAATTTCAATAAACATCATTTTTTCCAGTCTTCTGATTTTCTGTGGTAATTCAAACTTGTCAAGTATTACCCAGTATGGTCTTCCCTCTCTCCTCCTCTTTTCTCCTTTTCTCTCTCCTCACTATTCATTTACCAATTTATTTAACATCTACCATGTGCTAAGTACACACAAATATAAAGCAAAGGAAATGCCAATGCAGACCCTGTTTTCAAGGAGCTCATAATCTAATAGAAAATAAACTTCACCCTTGAAAACCAGGCACAAGCACCCCAAGGTACACATTTATACCTTTGCCATCCCTGCAGTCTTCCATGATGCATCTGTACCTTGTCAAATTACTTCTTCCACAAGATTATAGTGATTCAAAGTATGAAATAAATTGTTTTGAAAGTGAAATCTCACACAGGACAATAGAATGTTTTGATTCTTGTTTTCTGATTAAGTCAAGTCATATTAAATTGCTGTATTTGATGTTTTCAGTCGATGCAGAAGAGAGTTTTATACAACTCTGTATCTCACTATAGATATTCCTTACAGGCCAGAGAGTAAGTACAAATGTGGTCCAGGCCAGGAAAGGATGGGGCTAGAACTGCTGGGTGAGTATGAAAACCACGGACTGGGTGACTTCAGTTACCAGATTAGTGGAAACCCCGCACACACAATCCTTGTAAAGGCATACAAGGTGCACCAACAGAAGGGTGTGACTGAGCATCGAACTTGGCCCTGAGGCTCAGTTTGTAATGGTTATTTTCCAGTAATAACTAACTTCCAGTTTGATCAGCAACTTTTAAAAGCAATACAAATAAAGTATATGCCAATAGAGCAGAGATGGCAAACGAAGTTTAATGTCAACATTAATACCCATTTCATTGTTAGTACCTCTGGGCACCTGTGTTGAGAAGGACTTTGAACTATGCTTGTGATAAATATTTTTTTTTGTCCTTTTGAAGCAGGGTCTCCCTGTAGCCCCAGCTGTCCTGGAACTCACTATGTAGACGAGGCTGGCCTTGAACTCACAGAGATCCACCTGCCTCTGCCTCCAAAGTGCTGGGACTACAGGCGTGCGCCACTACACCGGCTCATGATTAATTTTTTTTTGTCTGTATTGGATTCAGAACACAAGAATGAGGGCACATAAGGCAACAAATCCCATGATTCCAATGACAATATTATGATTTTAAGTCAAAGTATAATTTGCAAAGGAATGTGTCAAAGTTTTATTCATTTATTAGTAAGGAAGCCAGGAAGATGACAAAGCCAGATCAAAGAAGACTATGAACCTCTAACTCTATCTGTCTCTCCGTCTTTGTCTCTCTATCATCTATCCATCATCTATCTACCTATCTATCATCTATCTACCTATCTATCATCTATCTATCTATCTATCATCTATCACCTATCTATCTATCATCTATCTATCATCTATCTATCTATCTATCTATCTATCTATCTATCATCATCTATCTATCTATCTATATCTATCTATTCTGTCATCTATCTATCTATCTATCATCTATCTGTATCTATCTATCTATCATGTATCTATCTATCAATCATCTGTCTGTCTATCTATCATCTATCTATCTATCGTTCATCTATCTATCATCTATCACCTATCTATCTATCATCTATCTATCTATCTATCTATCTATCTATCTATCTATCATCTATCTACCTATCATCTATGTATCTATCTATCTATCATCTATCTATCTATCTATATCTATCTTCTATCATCTATTTATTATCTATCTATCATCTGTCTATCATCTATCTATCTTCTATCCATCCATCTACACATACATACATATATCCATTCATCCATCTATCATTTATCAATCTTTTATAAAAATTTAATTAAAAAATTTAGGATAGACAAATATGTCTGTTTTCAAATTTTTCATGTTGATGATTAAGATCTCATATGTGCACATGCTAAGCAAGTGCTCTACCATTGAGCTGTACATCTAATGTTTCTGTCAGCAAAAAATAAACTCTAAATCAAACTAAATGAAGACATGGATACATATTGCTAAATTAAGCACAAAGCTAGTTGAGGACATGTATGTCAAATGACCTTTTAGAGATCTCTTCTATTTTTATTGTTTTGTAGAAATCAAATGCTTTAACTTTTTTTCTTTTTAGTGCTGAAGATTGAACCAAGTGCTCTGTACATTCTAAAAAGGTACTCTGCCACTCAGCTGAGCCTCCAGACCCTTAACATAATATTTAACAGAGATTACAATAGGCAAATAACAGAAGTCAATAACAGGAGTTAATGTTTTTTAAATATTTTATTATTTTAATTTTATGTGTATGAGTGTATTGCCTGCATGTGTGTGAGCACACCCGTGTTGTGCAATGCTGTGGAGGTCAGAAGAGGGCTTCGGATTCCCCTGGAACTGGAGTTAAGGATAGTTCATAGCTGCCATGTGGTGCTGGGAATTGAACCCGGGTCCT